GCCCGGGCTGTCGGGCTGGCCCCGAGGCACCCCCGGTGTTCTGGGCCCCGCGGGGTGATGGCGTGAGGGTTCAGCTCGCGGTGAACTAGGAGTTCTGAATGGCTTTGTGAGACAAAGTCTTCCTCGGAGCCCTCCGCGCTGCTTCATGGTTTCAATTGTTACACGAGATAAGAACTGTTCTGTATCCGTTTTCCTTAAGTACGCCTTTAAAGGGACTCTGCCTTCCTGAGGTAGACAGGACCCGACGTTTCCGAGTTGGAATTCCTGCTCAGTGCTCCACAGACACCCTGGGGAGTTACCTGAGGGTTACCAATCCGTGTGAACCCACCTAGACCTTCTGAAGTGCAGGATCAGTAAATCTCTGCAGAGCTGTTCTGAAGCCCTTGTGTTCCCTTTCCTCTCTGACCATCTCAAGGTTTCAGAACAGGGTCTCGATTTATTTCGAACAGCAGAGTCCTCATTCCGGGGCGTGTGACACTAGTGTCACTAACACAGATACTGTACTGCTTTGTGTTGCCATTTTAAGTCACCTGAAGTGTTCTAAAACTAAGGTCCGTGTTGTACTTTCTACAGCCATGCAAGAAGCGCCGAGAGGAAGATTCTCCTGTTGAGACCATCACAAGGTATTTTTCACCGTTAGCAAAACCAGTGGATAAACCTTTGTCGCCACCAAAGCCCAACAATATCTTGGATTACTTTAAGAAGACATCTGTAACTGAGAAAGCATTCCCAGGTGGAGCTGGAGAAGATAAAGCACTGTTGGATGCTGATGACAAGGACTGTAAATCATCTTTTAAACCATCTTTAAAGAGGAAGAGGAAAGCGAGGAAAGTTAATTTAAATAATAAGCTACAAGAGATTAAAGGATCTGAGAATGACCATGAAACAGAAATCAGTAGTGATGACAGCAGAGTCACAACAGGACTGCAACAAGAGAGTAATGATTTTATTGCTGCTTGTACTTTAGTTGACCAAAAATGTGCCAGAGAATTAGCAGAAGATAATGTGCAAAAGGAGAACTTCTCCAACACTGCCTTCTCCAGAAAAAAAGCCAGAAATGTGAGTTCTGAAACAAATGGAGCAAAAAATAGGATAAGAAAACCAAGGCAAAGGAAGCAGAAAGTAGATATGGATTTGTCTGAAAGGTTTTCGTCTGAAAACCTGATGAATGAAACTTGTGAAAAGGAAACTGAAGAGAAACAAACCTCAGCAGCAGAGTGTGGTGCTGCTGTTGGTGATTCCAGTCTGGAGGTTCACACAGCTGATGGCACATCACAGGCCAATAACAGTACAGTAACAGTGTCCTTTGAGGACTTCCTGAGGAGTCAGGGAGAAAGTAGTGTTGAAGAAGACACAGAGCCAACAATGGACACTTCTGCTGCAGCAGATGAAATGGACAGAAGTGACAGTATTATTGACCTAGAGAGGTGTGAGGAATCCCAACAGCTGCCACACAGGACAGTGACTGTCCTTGCACAGGTTCATTCTGTTCCCCCCAAATTGTCTCCGTTGCGTAAGGAGCAAAAAGGCTCCAGGAAAATAGCTTCCATTTTCCTGAAGCAGAAAGGCTGTGCAGGGGAAAGAGAAAGCAGCTCACCCCTCCTGGAGAGTGAGCAAACCGAACTGGTGGCTCAGAAAAGAAAGTCTAATGTAGTTATTGAGGAAGAGGAGTTGGAGTTGGCTGTTCTGGAGACTGCAGGGTTGGACTTTTTGAAGCCTAAATGTTCCCTGGAAGAAAGGCATCAGTTTATGAAGGCATTCAGACAGCCAGCAGCAGATTTAACAAAAAGTGGAGTTAAAAAGGCACCTGGAAGGCAAAAGCAAACCACAGCAAAGTCTTCAAAAGAAAGAGAAGGGCATGAAGACATCATCGCTGCAAATAACTGGTTAGAAAACGGAGTACCAGAAGATTATCTGGACAAATACACACATTCTAGTTCTAAAAGCAGTAGAACTAAACCCAAAAGATCTAGAAAGGTTCAGAAAAAGGGAAACACAAGGAGGCAGGCTTCAGAACCTAAAGCAACTAGAGTCTCAAACACCAGCAATTGCAGTGAGGAGGATTCAGGAGCTAATGCTGCTACTGTGGAAGACACCTTAGATGTAATCATTTTATCAAGCCCCAAAGCAAGTGAGTTACGGAGGAGTTCAAGGCAGAAGAAAATCAAAACGCCAACAAATGTTACACCTGAAAGGCCCAGGGTTAGAACTGCCTTCTCTGCAGATGAATTCAGTGCCTTTCTACAGACTTCTACCCCAAAAGCTAGCAAACAGTCCTCAAAGAAAAGTAGCATGTATAAAGCTGAGGTGATCACTGTCCCCTTTGATGGCAGCAGCCCAATAAGGTAAACAGTTTAAAGTATATTTTACCTTTTTGCCCTTTTTATGCAAATACTTTACAAGTGAGATATGACTATACATTGATTGAAATGCATGCCAAGGCTGCAAGGATACTGGTCATGGCCACTGTATTTTTAAAGGCTTTTGCACGAAAGATTGAGAGTAACATTTGCCTTTATTAAACAGTAGTAATTTCATTATACTTTTTTCCCTAATTAGGATGAGGTTTACTCGTATCAATGCGACTACGAAATCAAATAAAGCCGAAGCAAAGAAAAATGAAGAGTTTAGCTCCAGAAACATAAAGGTAATTCATGTAACAGTTTGTGTGTCAGTGCTGTGTCATTTCCTCCATGTGTATAGTTGTGTTCTGGTCAGTATTGTGTGAGAGTTCAATGTGATAAAGTGTGACAGTTCTCAGCTGCCCTGAGCAAAGGGAATATCCCTCTGATTCATGACAGCAGACAAGAGAATTTCTTGTACCTTAGATTTAAAAACATGTTTTACTGGTAAAAATCTCCTTTTCATAACAGAAAAGCCCAATAAAATAGCATGTCACAGAATAGAATCTCTGAACCAGCCAGGTTGGAAGAGACCTCCAAGATCAAGCCCATTCCAATGCCTGATGGCTCTCTGTCCTCTGCTGCAGGGTCAGGATGGGACCTGGCACTGACTGGAGGTGGCACTTAGTGGTTTAGTTGGCAAAAGTGACCAGCAAAGGTTGGCCCTGGTGATCTCAGGTGTGATTCTGTGCCAGTGTTTGGGCACAGAGCAGCTGAATCCTAACATCACTGCCTGTATCTCATTTGTTTCTGGACAAGCTGAGGATCTCCTCACAGGGCTCTGACTCCCTTTGAAAACTGTTGACACCATCTTGGTTTGCTTCTCCTGTCAGTTGCTTCTTTTTCTTGTGGATACCAATGACATTTTGTAAAAATTATCTCCTTTTATGAATGCGAAAAATTCTATTCACGTGCCAAACACTGAGTGAAGATACTGCTATTAATTGCTGGTTTGGTTCTTCTGTTCTCTGTTAACAGAGGAACTCTACTTCCAAAAACAGATCCAAAGCAAAGCAGCTGGTAGAAAAGGCAAAGGCTCTGCAGCAGAGCAGGTCAAAGGCTGCTGAGGACTCAGCTCCAGTGCGGCGCTCGTCCCGGCAGAGAGCTCTGGCTGAGAGGAGAAACCTGCAGCAGACTGAGGTAAGGCCCTGCATTTCGTAGGGGAAATTGAGGTGTTTGGGATTCATTGAAGCAACAGAAATGATTCTCATGTGGAACCATTTCTCCTAAGGAATCCAGTAAGGTGCATATCTGTGCATTGCATTGTTAGTAAAGGAGGAAAGATTGTGTTTCCTTTCTTATTTGGTTTGCTTTCCCTCTAGGAATCAGTAATCATTTTAGATTCAAGTGTGAGTAGTGTCACTCCTGCAGAGGAGAGTGTGAAGCAAAAGAAACTTCGGAACTTAAATGATGTTTTGGGGAAGAAGTCAAAAAACTTGAAGGTTGTGAAGAACTCAAAAGGTAATTGTGTTCTACTGAATGTGTTTAGTTTTTATCAGTTATTGACTAGTGTAACTTTATAAAGTTGCATTTGCAGTGGATTCATCTTCTGGTTTTTTGGTATAATATTCCAACATTTCCTTTCTGTAGGAGTTAACAGTGCAAAGGTGATTTTCACGAGTTGCTTTGATATTTCTTCTTTCAGAGAAAACCATGGTTGTTCCAAAAACTGTCAATAGTATAACCATGTCTTGCTGTCTTCTAATTTATGGTTGGGATTTTTCCCTAATGTTGCAGAAAATAACATTGATAGTGATGAAATAATGAAAAATAAAACTCTACTGAATTTTGCTATAATACTCAGCTTTCCCTTAAGAAAAGCAGTTTCCCTGATGTCACTGAAGGGAACAGGTAGTGAGCAGAGCAGCAGGTTGGAATTCTGTGTCAGTGCTAATCTAGTCATGTGTTTTACTTCCTACAGGGAAACTGAGACATCCACTTTCCTGCCTAGGCAAAAGTGACCAGAACTCTGCAGATCAGCCAGTTGTGATCTTTGATGAAGGCAGGTCAGTTTCCAAGGTTGCTGCTGCAAATACTTTAATTCAGGTTCAAATACACTTACTGATGTCAGTGTTCATGGGGTTTGCCCTGAGCAGTGTGAATCAGCTTGCAGAATTTTAGGGGTGGTTTGGAGATTGCCATTGTTGAGCCTAAGCTTTTAGATGGCTGAAAATAGAGTTGATGACTGGTTAGAAAGAAATCCCAGATTCCATCTAAAAACACAAAAGCAAAGAGAACTTTATTTAACTGAAACTCTCTAACACCAAATTCAACATGAACTTGCACATGGCAATGATTTGTAGCAGTTCTCCCAGACTGTTTCTTACTCGGGCATGGAAGAGAATGTGATTCAATTCAGCCCTCGCATAGCTGGAAGTTCTAATAATTCTGGTTTTTTTTTCAATTCTCTTTTCATTAAAGCCAAGATGCATCTGAAAACTCTCAGGATGATGATCAGTTCAGAGCCAAACGTGAATTCCTGAGGAGTGGATTGCCAGAGTCCCTGAAAAGGCAGATTGCAAGGAAAGCAGCAGCCCTGGAAGCTTATTCCCTTGCAGGTTCCTGTTTCAGGGCTGTTGTTCATGTGCAGCAGAAGGATGACTGTAAGCTGCTGTTAAGCTTTTCTCTAAATGTATATGATTTTGAGTAAATTTGTGCAGAAAAGAAAGAACTTGAAGAGCAGAACTTGCTGTTGTGACTGGAATAGCTGAGGGTTTGCATTATCCTGTGGCTCAGTAAGAAAACAAAACTTCGAAGCTTTCAGTGAGATGTTTTTGAATAGAAAATTGACAAACGAAGTTGGTGCTAAAGTAGTGTTTACATATATGGGTGAGCATGCAGAATTATTAATGTTTAGCCAAGAAAGTTGGTTTTTCAGGTTTTAGTTTGGAGGATAAAGATTGTGTTGGGCTGATTGGGGCTGAAACCATTTCCTTCTGACAAAGACAAAACACTTGACAAAAGAGCTCATTTCTTTCCCCTAGGATGGAAGTTTACTCTTGCTTTGTTTTCGTGGGGGTTCTTCTGTAGGTCATCCAATGTGGAAATTGCAATCCCCATCCTGTCCTCTCTTGACTAAGCTGAGGGAACTGAGCACTGAAGTCACCAACATCACAAAAGTCACTCTCTCACTTGGTCAGTTTTCCACTGTGAATTCAAAACAAACTGGGAATTGTTCTGCAGCTCTGGTTAGTACCTTGAAATTTAAATGGTTTTGATCCTTGTTTAGACTTCTGTTTTTAAAAAATCCTGTAATTTGAATCTGGAATTTTTAATTTCTCTGTGTGTGATTTTCCCTTTCTGCATCTTAACATGAGGCAGTTCTCTCTCTTGTTAATCTCTGGGTCTGACAAGACAACTCCCAGTTTCAGCTGTGCAAAGCCTTTGTCCTGTTACTGTCTGTGAGTAATTTTGTGTGTGTTTCAGCTTTCAGGCCACAGACCAGCTTTTCCTGATACACTGAAGAAGGATTTACTGGAGGAGATGATGTCTTCTAATTCCCAATTTCCTGTCAGAAAATACTTCCACAAGTTTCTGAAACAGCAAACACAACAGTTGGCTTTGGAAAACGGTCTACAAGGTTAATAATCTTTGTAGGAACTTCTGGAATTTCCAGGAATATGTCAGTGCAGGAATGGTTGTTGGAAATAAATTGCTCACTGCATTTTAGGTCATTTTGACCAAAATCTTTAAATGTGGCTTAAGCAAACACACAGTTGTAATGGCATAGCCTGAAATTTTCAAAGTCATAATTTTTTTCTTTCCTAGAAAGCAGAGACAGCACTGCAAAGCCTGAGGGGAATCAGAAACATCCTGACAGCTGGAAGGAAACCAAGAGGAAAAGGAGAGAAACGGAAGAACGCAAGTCAAAAAGAAGAAAACAAATTGAAGGTACAGAGACAGAAATCAAATCAAGAGCTTCCAGGAGTCTTATTTCTCCCATGTCTGGAGAAAACCAGGCAGAGACAGGACAAGCCACAGATCTGGGGAAAAACAAGCCCCAGAAAGCAGCAGATGTGACTGAGGACACTCCGTGTTTATCACAGCCTAATGCACTTTCAGGTAAACATTTCCTGTCTCGTTTTGAGTCTCTTTGCCTTGAGGGAATCTCTATGTGATGTATGTCAACTTTCCACTGCGATGCAAAAGTCACATCTGGTCTTTACATTCTGCTAGACTTGATCAGCTCCTTTGCATGAAGAGCTTAAAAATGGCTAATATTTTTTCCCAGGTGTTGAAACGGAAGACATGCTCTGGACAGAAAAATATCAGCCTCAAGATTCAAGTGAACTTGTAGGGAACAAGAAAGAAATTGAAAGGCTACACAGGTGAGAAGTGGGAACAGGGATCTACTCTTAAAATAACTCAAACCATCATGGTACTTCATTATGCTCAAAGATGCAAAGTCAGTTATTTCACACTGTGCTTGAATAACCCACACAGGGTATGTGTTTGGGTTTGGGTCACTTCCAGCAAGTTGCAGAAACAAATTGTAAGTTGCTGTGGAAGGTCTTTTGGTCATAGTTGCTTCTACAGTAAGGCCTCAGTAGCTTGGCTGATACAAACCTAAAAACACAGGAAATCCTACTTTAGGCTCTAGGATAGAGTGAAATAATGAAGTGACCTCAGTAAGTTTAATTTTGTCACACACAATGAGAGAGAGCAGTGCTGTCCATGCTTCCCAGCAAGGTCCTGATCCTGAGGACAGGAATTTAGCACTCAAGTCCACCCAGTCTGTTGTGCTTTCGGCTAAATCTTCTGTGAGGGTTTAAGTGATTGTTGTGGCTCTTACACAGAATTGAAAGATCTCTATGACAAAACAACACCAAACTCTGAGTGATTAAGCAGTTCACCAAGTGACTTGTTTTCAAACCCCTCAGCTAATAGAATGGAGAGTGGAGAAGGAATCCCTTTTTCACAAAGAATCAAACAAATCCTGAACAATTTTGGTTTAATCTGAAGGGACTTGCTAAGATTCTGAGAGGGGTAACAAGTGGCTGATGTCCCCTAGTTTGAGGCTCTGTTCCATATTCATTTGGTTCACTTTATTCAGCAGTAACTTTTATTTTTTTCCGTTCCTTCCTTTTATAGTTGGTTAAAAGAATGGAAAAAAAGAGCTGATCTGGAAGAAAAAAGAAATCAGAAAGGGGAAAAGGAGGACAAAGAGCTTGAAGGTGCTGATAGACTTATAATATAACTCATCTCTTGTTAAAGTTGGCAAAAAAATAACCTCAGTCCTTTCTTTTCTTTGCAATAATTCTACAGATTCTTCCAGCAGCCTCGACTTCAGGGACAGTAAATCTGATCTGGAGGAGGAGCTAAACCTTTGCAACACAGTCCTGATCAGTGGCCCCCCGGGGGTGGGGAAGACTGCTGCAGTGTATGCCTGTGCCCAGGAGCTGGGCTTTAAGGTTGGTGCAGTTCTTTCCACAGTGCACTCTCCTATTTCCTGCTAGTGACAGGAAACCTGTCACAATACGAGGTGTCCACAATCTCTGCTGTCCCCTCACTCTCCCTGCAGATCTTTGAAGTCAATGCCTCCTGCCAGCGCAGTGGGAGGCAGATCCTGTCCCAGCTGAAAGAAGCTACTCAGTCTCACCAAGTGGACAAGAAGGGTGTTAATGCACACAAGCCTTGCTTTTTCAACAGCTGCACCAGTGCCAAGTCACCGAGTGAGTTCCTGGGTGTATCTGGGGGGAGTTTGGTGGGTTGGAGTTTTGGGTGGTTTCTGCAGGAGAGAGTGTTGGAACTCAAAACGAATTTTGCACATTAGTTGTTTTATGAAGAAAGTAAATTTCAGTTTTTCTGGCTGTGATTTGTTGGTTAGCAGAACTACACAGCAAATGAAATAATGACTTTGTTGAAATGCTGACTCTTGTCTGTGTTATGTCCCTAGTGGTGGTTAAAGTGCTGTGGCACTTGAATAGAAGGTTGAACAGAACATTCCCTGTGAGAAAAGGGAAATAAGCAGAAATCAGCACAGTGAACTTGTCCTGTACTAGCTAAAAAACTAAGATTTGCTTTACATTTGCCTGAGAAATGTCAGTTTGACATTACATTTCCAGATGAAACTTAATAGAACACATATCTTGCAGAAAAAATGTATTCTCCTAAGAAAGTTGTTTCACCAAGAAAACCACCACTGTCACCAAAAGGAGGAGGTTTAAAACGAAATTTGGCCCCTAAAACACTTGCAAACTACTTCAAAATTTCTTCCAAATGTACAAGTAATGATGGAGAAGAAACACCCCAAGAAAAAAGTAAAGGTAGGTGCCCCTGTTGGATAGTTAGTTACCTTTGGAGATGGAAATGCTCCACTGTATGTGGAGCTGTGGGGAGAAAAGAGTGGATGTTTTAAGCAGTTTATACATGGGGAGTTGAATCCAGTACCTGGAATTTTTTAATGGTTTCAGTCCTCCTTCCTGCTCACTTCTTCACCCATCTGCAGGAAATGCTCAGAATTCACTTGAAGAGAAGAAAGATGCTCAAGTGAAGCCAATAAACAGAGAAGAAGGAGAACACAACAGGAAAAGTGCAACTTCTCTCATTCTTTTTGAAGAGGTGAAATTCCTGTGAAACACACTGTGACTGTTCACAGCTTGGAGCTGTTGCTAAGGCTATTGACACTCTGCACTTGGTTTGCTTTCTGTAGGTAGATGTCATCTTTGAGGAAGATGCAGGATTTCTGAGTGCAATAAAGACTTTCATGGCAACTGCAAAGAGACCTGTAATTCTAACCACCAATGGTGAGTGGTGTTTGTGACAGTCACTAGGCCTCCCAGACAGAAGAGCCTCTCTTGGTGAGATGGTTTACATGGTGATGGTTGGGCACAGCTCCTAAACGTAAAACTTAGAAACTGCAGTGACAGGATGAGGGGAAATGGGTTCAAACTGAAGGAGGGAAAGCCTAAGTTGGATGTGAGAATAAAGACACTGGATGCTCTCATGGATAAAGAAATAATGAGTTTTGAACATAATGTCTTCATACAGATCCAACCTTCAACTTAATGTTTGATGGCTATTTTGAAGAGATCAACTTCCAAACCCCTTCCTTGGTAAGTGTGTTTGGACATGCAGGTACATCCCAAGCAAGGACATGTCAGCGAAGTTAAGTCTGAAATGTAAATGTTGGTGTAACTTTATATTTATCTGATGTGGTGGATCTGTTTCATCAGGAGACTTTTTGCAGGGTTCGTGCAGGATGTGTAAATGTGTTTATGTTAAAGTGTAGAAGTCATTTTACTATGATGGCAGATTTATTTCCCTAACAATTCAGTGTTTGAGAATTACAATAAGAACATCAATCACTTCATCACTTAATTTAGTTTTTAGGGTGTCTATGTCGTTTCATAGATGATCACTCATGGAGAGAGTGCTCAGACATTGGACTGTGCTGCCCAGGGAGGTGGTGGATTCACCATCCCTGGAGGTTTTCAAGCTGAGACTGGATGTGGCACTTAGTGCCATGGTCTAGTGACCACGGTAGGGTTGGACTTGATGATCTTTGAGGTCTCTTCCAACCTGGTTGATTCTTTGATTCTGTGCTAGTGTTTGCTTTTAATGAGCTGAATTTCTGAACTGAATGTAATTCTCTGACATGGACTGTATAGATTTGGTGTTCTGATTTGCTATAGAGGTTTTAATACAACTGTAATCTAATTTAATAAACTAATCTTTTGTATTAAAAGGCAAAGTGTACTGCAAGCATAAGTAGAACCATTTTCTCCTGTGTGCCTCACTGCAGTGGGCCTGGCAGGGATGGTTTCAGTGCTCTGTGTCTCTCATTCAGACAAATGCTGCCAGTTACCTCCAGGCTCTGTGTCTGGCTGAGAACCTGTGGACAGATGTGAAAGACTTGGCTGCTCTCCTCGCCACAAATAACTGTGATATCAGACAAAGTGTGCTCTGCTTGCAGTTCTGGGTTAGAAGTGGAGGTGGATGCTTGAAAGAGAAATGGTTGGCACATCGGGGTAGGTTGATTTAATTTAATCTTTAAAAAAATCTCCATCTTAGCATGAATTTGATTAAATCAAACCATTTTTGGATGTGTGAATAGACTGTAACTTTCTGTAAGACTCCTAAACATTTGGGTAGGGTTTGAAGGTATTTTTTGGCTATTTCAAAGCTTTGTATTTATACATAAGGTTCTAAAAGTTTGACTTTTATTGCACCTGTTTATTACCCATCATTATGATACTTAACTATCTCCATTTCCCCTCCTGAGTAGTAAAACTGGACAAAGCAGGGAGCCAGTAGTAGTTTCCCTTCAGCTCCCAGTTTACAAGCCTTGATCCTTGTAGCTGAGCTGGTTCACCTAGAAGAAGCAGAACTGAAAAAAGAGAACACTTGGACAGGTAGCAAACAGGCAGCAAGGGCAGGAATGTGATCCCAAAGGAGTCAGGAAGAGGATCCCCAACAGGTGTTGTTGTGTGAGTGAGCAGCAGGGAGAGACTAGTGAGGCCTGAAAGGAAGAACAGACTCCTTCAAAGGTCCCAAGCAAAGCAGGGAGAGAGGCAGATCAGAACAGCCACAGCAGCACAGTGGGGTGACTCATTTCAGTCAGTTTTCATCCAGAACCACAGCAAGAGGTGACAGTTACAGGATCCTGTACAAAGGGAATTGAGGCAAAGAGGGGGAAAATCAACTTCATGAGGCATTGTTTTTCTTCAAATAATTTATGCTCTCTTTGTGCAGGAGAGGAGACAAGTAAAGCAGATAATGTAACGTGTTCTGGAAAGACTAAGGAGTCCAAGGATTTTTCTCCAGCTGATGGTGCATGTGTGCAGGAGCTTCCAAAGTGTGACACAGGCTGTGTAGAGACACTGCTTGGCCTTAAGAACATCCTGTTGCCTTCAGAAGATTTGTTTACATTTCTTAAGGTATTTTTGGAGTTGCCTGGGTATGTCAGATAAGTGAGTGTTATGTCACTAGGATCAACTTCTGGGAATCACATTTCTGAAAAGGTTTGGTGTAGGAATTAGGGGGATCTGACCTGGGGCAGTTTCCTGCCAAACAGTCCCTCACCTCAGAACACAAAGCCAGGGGTGTGAGATTCTCTGTAATAACATGTTTGTTAACAAAATCAATGTATGAATAAATCTTTCACAATTATTTCACAGCACAAAATCACAACCGTGGAGGAATGGAATAAATTGATGCAGCTTCTCACAGAGTTCCAGATGAAGCAAGTGGATTTTATATACAATAATCTTGAACTTATTCTTCCCTTACCAGTGCAAGTTCTTTCGAACCACTCTGAAGCCTCTAATTCTATACTTGAAAGGACTAACACAGTTTCTTCAAAAAACAGATCTACTAAGAGTTGTTGCTCTGGGAAAAGTAGCCCTGGAAAAAGGTCTAAAAAGACAAAGACCCAGAAAAGGCTTGATCTGTTGGAGGATAGTGACTTGTTTGATACTGAATTGAACTATTCAGCTGAATTCCTAACCTTGCCATCAGATGGTTCTCCATCATGTGCTGACATCAACAAAGAGGAGGCAAAACTGGTGAATAAAGGAGAAAAAGAAGTCAAAACTCAAACCCCAGCAAATGGGAAAAGGTCTGCTCTTGTTTTTCAGTGTCTGAGTTCACTGAGTGAGTTTGTGGAGAACATGTCTTTCCTGGACTGCTATGTAAACACCAACACCAAGGAGCAACTGGAGTTTTCTAGAGGTGAAGAATTTCACTGGACAAATGCCAAAGTCAGAAATGGTCTTTGTGATGAGTTCAGTGCAGAGAGTACTGACTGGTGGAGTTCCCAGGGCTGCAGTGAGATCAAGGCAGCGATCGAGGCGCTTAGTTTTAACAAATGTTCTGTTCATCTTTCACAAAACTTGGAGTCCTTTCTGAGCCCCAGTAAAGCATCTGAGAGTGATCAGCTGGAGGGACTGACTTTGCATGTTTCAAACACAAGGAATTGCATATCCTTCGGTCAGTTGGCTGATCCAAGGTAAGACTTTGCTAATGTTTCTGGAATATAATGCAGTTGTTTGTCAAGAAAAGCATTTCACAGAGTCTAGGACTGTTTCAGATTTGGTGCATACACATTTGTACCACTACGACTGTTGTCAGGATGGCTCAAAACATAGGAATATATCGTTCACTTTGTTTTTGTAAGCATATATTAACTGCTTGGCACTCTTCAAAAAGTGGCTTTCTGTTTGAGTAGCCTGATTGTAACATTGTTCAGGAATGGTCTTGGTCTATTTACTTCAAAAATAGACAAACACCACCAGCAGCCCCAAAAGAATAACAAAATCCTGCAGGAATGGCTTTTTGAGGGCAGACAGATGGACTGAAATGGCTCCTGCAAGTACTAAACATGCAAATTTGTCATCCAGTGCCTGGTGACATTAAACCTGTGTTAATGTGTTGGTAGGTGTTGCTTGATGAAGACCTGACAAAACTGAAAGAAATTTTTTTGTAGCAACTTATGCTAATGAAGAACAACCTTTAATAGATTGTATGAGAACAAAGGATACACTGATGCTAGCAAATGTGTGTCTGAAAGGTTGTTTTCTGAACATAAACAAGCCATCATAGGTGAAACTGCCACAGTGGGTCCCCAGAGCCCGTTCAGGTGTCTGAACAGGAAGGTAGGTTGGACTCTTGTTCCTCTCAGTCAGTTCCCAGAGGGGCAATGTCAGGATGGATCTGACCATCAACGTGTGACCAAGTTTGGCCAATACTTCATGAGTCACACATTGGGTTTGCCATTGACCTTGTGGACCAGTTACCTGATGCTGTTTGTTTCTGACCAGCACAGATGCTTTCAGTGGTGTTGTGTGACTGATGTACCAAACCCAGTCCCTAACTGGGCTGTGCAGAGCTCCCCAGATTACACTCAGTTAATTGGCCAAACAAACTACTGTCCCTCCTGTCCCAGAGCAGCTCTGTGGTGCTGTGTAAGCAGCAGAGAGCCCAGAGCTGCAGACATCTAACCCATTGGGATGCAGCTTTGGACATCAGTGTGTTCAGCAGTTCTAACCCCTGGATTTGATCCTGAGGGAACAGAATAGGGACTGCACATTCTTGGACAAGAGCACTCAAGCTTTACCCTCTGTTGTAGCCTGGGCCAAAAGGCAGAGAAGAGGCTGTCAGCCCTCAGAGCTGTGTTCTCCAGGAGTCCCTCACACCTGGGTAACAAGGCAGCCAGCACCCTGGAGTACCTCCCTGCTCTTCGCAGCATCTGCAGGGCTGAGAGGCTTAAGGAGCAAGGGAAGACTAAGAGAAGGTAAGTTTTGGGTTCCCTAAGTTTTGCTCCGTTTCGGTACACAAGGTAGTTAAGATTTTTAGTCGAATGTTTTGTAATCCCTTGTCTAGGATTATTTAATCCTTGGCAAGAAAGGTGAGCATTTGTCTCTCAGAGTAACAGGAGTGTTGCCTCCTATCTGGAAATGACTTCGTGCCCTCACAGTCACCTTTGCTTTTCTGTGTTATAGGTTCTTGCATTACCTTGAAGGGATTCATCTGGAAGTTCCCAGGCAAACGATCAATGCTCTGTCTTTGGACTTCCCTTGAACTGCCAACCCCACAAACCTTTGTGCCTGATGGTGACATTCTCACCATCATTATACTTGGTTTATCCTTTTCTACCACGTGATTGTATATTCAGAGCCATTTGTATATTAAATTTCTATGAGTATTTAAGATAATGTGTATATCTCTGGTGGTGCTGTTTCTCTCCAGAGATGTGGGTTTGCCTGGTGCTTGTCCAGTGAGTGCATTTACAGTCCTAAATGCACAAACCCCAACCCATGGACAGTACTTTGTGCTCTCTTTCTCTGGGGTTTGTGTATCACACAGCAAGAAGTTCTTTTATAGTGACCAACTGCCACAACTTCCACAGCAAAACTGCCTTTTTCTGAGACCATTTTGTTCAAATAAACTCGTGTCTGAGTTTGCAGTGAAGTGATAAACAGCTGGAGGTGAGAGGGGGCAGGGAGAGGATCCTCCAAGTATCCTGAAGTGTGAATGACTAAAACCAGCTCCTCACAATACCCACAGGGAACAAAGTCTTTGCAAGGCCTCAGTGTTAATACCTTCAGTGTTAACAGCTCTCAGATCTGCATCTGAAGCTCCTGAAAAGGTACAGAAATGATTACTGTGGCTCAAGATGGTCTCAGAGATTCAGGCAAGATTTTGTGGGTAACAATGATTCCAGTGTTACTTTGGGTTCAGGAATATTTAACTACTTCTAGTCTTGTATATTGTGTTCGGGTTTTATGCCTCTTTTTGTATTTGACAAGACTTCAGCCTGTTTATCTGTGATGAATCTGGTTTTCTAAGACAATAAATTTGTGAGACTTTGCTACAATTCTGAATGTTTCTGTTATATGAAAAGTAAGATTTGTAAAACTTCATGTTCTCAGTCCATAGAGATGATTTTTAAAGGGTTTTAAAACTGGAATTATTTCAAGTGTGTACTTTTCCACCTTTACATTGCAGTTGGACTGTTCCTCTTCCTCAGCTGAGTCAGGTTGCTGCCAAGCAGTGGTGCTGCACTTACCTCAGTGTCTCTGTGACAACAGGGAAGGCCATTTACTAGGGCATTCTGTTCTCATCTTAGTTTTTTCATGTCTTAAAGATGTCTGGGAATGAGAAATATTTATGAAAACAGTAAATTATTTTAAGCTTCTGCACTGTACATAATCTTTATAACTCTTTCCACAGTCGAGAATTATCAAAAAAATAAAGTGGTGGCTGTTTAAATCTTAATGGGCTGATTTGTTGTATCAATGGTCTGAGCTACTCTTGTACAAGTTTGTAAAAATAAATGAATATTTTTAATAAAAAAGTAGAGGTATATCTGTTCACCACTTTATAAAGGCACTCTCAGTCTACCCAGAGTACAGTGGGTGCAGGTCCTAGGAAGTGTTGTGATTTTAGGAATTCATGGGTAATAGGAAAGACACAAATCAGAGAACAGGGGGAGACAGTTAGTCAACTCTCTGGTTTCGATAACTGCCTTAAGAAGCTGTTCATAGAATCTCCAGGCTGTGGTGTCCCAAAGGTAAGGTAGAATTCTGGTATTTCACTTCTTGACTGGACACTTACCACAAAAAGTCACCTCAAGCTGCTCTGAATGAAAGATAATCTATTTGTGATGATTTGTTTGACTTCTGATCAGCTCACAACTTCGGCTTCTTACGCATCAGGTATGAGCATCCTTTGTATGCTAGAACAAAGCAAGTTTCCAGGAGGGCTGGGCTCGAGGAAAGGGGATTGGGGCTGGTTTTGGTTAGCTCAGCTTAAAAGTAAATGCTGCACGAGCTCCATTCCAGTGCTGTGCAGTTCACCTGCCTCTGGGGCAAAATGTTTTCCAGCAATATCTCGGGCCCTGCTGAGTCCTGTACACTGCCCTGAGCTGCTTTGTGTGTCTTGGGTAGAGTGCAGTGAAACCAGAAGTAAAACAACCCTGGAGTTTCACAATGACTCTCCCCATCTAGGCAGTAGTTGCTACTGGGTGTACAGCAACTGAAAACCAGCCAAGAGCCCAGTTCTTGCTGAAATCTTGGCCAAGTTTCAAGCTGTTCTTTACTGTTGCTCCAGTATTGCCTTCCCAGACGTAAATGAGGGTGACATTACTCTACCCTCCCTTGAGTAATACAGAAAAAAGCAGTTCTGGTTGCAAGGCTTGGGCTGCAGAGCAGGAGGAGCAGGAGGGCAGGATGTCTGCGTGAGCAGGACTGTCTCAGCCTCTGCAGGAGCTCTGAAACAGGGTGAGATGTTTCCTGAGGGCTGGGAAGGACATGGCCTTTGCAAGTTGCAGAAAGACACTGAAGCTCAACCATCTGAGTATAACACTAAGAAAAATCTTGGGGCTACTGCCCAATGCTGGTGGTGTGTTTTTTCCTGTCTTAACTACAAATAACCACTTTGCATATGTCACACAGGTTCTTTCTTTTATTCTACAGGATTGGTAAGGTTACCACAGAAGTTAAGCTAGCAAAGAAGCTTCAGTGTGTGTCCTACAGGAAAATTCATTCCAAGATACAACAATTCCTAAAGGGTAAATGCTACAAAGAGATTTTGTGTAGGCAGTTGAACAACTCAACTTTTCAGATATTCTGCTGCTGTTTATTTCATGACTTTACAATGTTTTTGAAATGACACAATGCTATTTAGTGCCTATGAGATGGAAAAAATGTGTCAGTACTTTCAACAGATAATACATGTATAGTATTTAGTTATCTGCAAAATAAATCACTGCACAGTGTACATAAACTTTACTGAAGAAGAGTCACATGTTATAGTGCACTATAGTAATGCAAGGTGACAATGCAAATTGATTTGAACCTGAAACTACAGAAATGAAAATTATTTGAATACCTCAATCTATTTCCGATTCAATTAACCTTCTTGAAAATCCTTCCTCCAATTTGTTCTTCTTTTTTCTTTTCTTAGACCAACAACAATGATTCTTCCCCTCTACTCTGCTCTGGTGAGACCCACCTGGAACACTGTGTGCAGTAGAAGACATGGAACTGTTGGAGCAAGTCCAGAGGAGGCCACAAAGTTGGTAAGAGCACTGGAGCATCTCCCTGTGAGGACAGGATGGGGAAGTTGGGGCTGTTTAGTCTGGAGAAGAGAAGACTGTGTGGAGACCTCAGAGCAACTTTTCAATCTCTGAAGGGCTACAAGGAGCTGGAGAGGTACTCTGTGTTAGGAACTGCAGGGACAGGACAAGGGGCAATGGGTTCAAAGTGATGGAGGGAAAGTCTAGCTTTTCTATTGCTTCTAAAAGTAACTCCTGAGTGCTGTTGACATGGCTGTTAAACCTCCAGGCTGCTCAGGAAAGCTGTGCTGTGTTTGAGGCTCCCTGGGCACCCTGCTCTGCTGGGAGCTGTCCCTGCCCAGGGCAGGGGTTGGGACTAGATGATCTCTAAGGTCCATTCCAACCCCTAAATTCTATGGTTTTTTTAAAACTTATTTCTCTAGAGCCAAGCCTGGGATGGAGTTGAGTCAAACCTGTTGGTGTCCTGGAAACAGAACCCTTAGTAATGAACTTCCAGTACAGAAATTCCTGTCTCATGGCAGGAGGTTTCTCCCAGCTCCATCCCTGCAGTGCTGAGGCAGGAAAACTTCATCTCCTGGTGGGGACGGGGAGAGGGATGAGGAAGGGAACAAGGATGAGGATGGGGAAGGGAATAGGGATGAGGATGGGGAA